ACCTAGCTCCCCCAATTAAGTGCCTGAGGTACCCCACTCTGCAAACAAGCCTCCTGCCCAAAGTCACTCAGCTTTACTTGACCTATGGGCTTGGAAGCCCTCTGCTCTCTGCCTTGTGCTCTGGCTCTTGGTTCTGCTGCTCCTCTACCGCTCCTCACAGCTTTCCGCCCCTGGGTTAAGGAGGCTCAATGTGCAAGGATCTTGGGGTTCAAAGGATGCACTCCACTTCTGGCTCCTCTTCAATGGTAGTAAAATTCCACTTTCTGCTACTGAGATGACACATTATATACCCAACAGGATGGCAAAATTGACCAATCACAATTAAGCTTGTTAACAATCCTCACAACTGAATCCTATAACCCATCAGCATCTTCCCCCACTTCTTTTATCTAGACCCATCAGGAAAAAGTAATTTGGCGGGAGTTTACAAAGACCCTGGCTATAGGAGACATTAAATCATTTTATCAATGACTACAAACCACAAGGTCACTGATTCAAACTCATTACCCTTTCATGGGAGGAAGATAAGGCTGTCTGTTCCCATAAAGATTTACAGTTCTACAAATTCTTTACAGAGTTGCTGTAAGTCAGAATTGACTTGATGGCAGTGGTTTTTCATTTTTCGATAGTAATATGTATGTTTCAAGTGAACAGTCTTGCTTGTTAGTCCTCTTGGTAGTAGCTGTGACTATTAGAAAATTTTTCTATGCTTGATTCAATAGGTAAAAAAAAAGGTGATACTTGCATGATTCACTGAAGATGCTGATATTTGAACTGTTTGTCATCTAAGCGTCACACCTGTCAGTATAGTTTAGGGATTGTGTTTTAAATTTCCAATACCTGCCCCATGTCCATTTTAATAAGGGTCTCCTTCTGGTCTTTGCTGGTTGAAACAAAAGGTGTAATTAACGTTATGTGGGATTGCTCATTGTTTGCTTTTATAGCTCTTAGATCCTGACCACTGAAAAGCAATAGCCTGTAAAAGGTAGCACACAGAGGCAGTAAAGAGAAGGGCATGGGATTTTACCCAATCTGAGTTTGCTGTGAAGTACCTGTCAAATATATGTGAAACACAGCAGTGTGTTTGTATACATACACAAAAATACACCCATGTTTGTTGTTGCTTTTAAGTGCCATTGAGTCAGTTCCGACTCATAGTAACCCTGCGCCGGGTTTCTGAGGAGTGACTGGTGAGTTTGAAGCACCAACCTTGCAGTTTAAACTGACCTTGGAGTCCAGTGCTTATCCTACAGTGCCACACCAGGACTCCTCCTATGTTTATGGTGGTGGTTATGTGCCGTGGAGTCAGTTCTGACTCATAGCGACCCTGTACAGGGTTTCCGAGGCTGTAAATCTTTACGGGAGCAGAAAACCTCCTCTTTCTCCCATGGAACAGCTGGTAGTTTCGAACTGCTGACAGTGAGATCAGCAGAGCAGTTTATGAGTTTGAACTACTGACCTGTGGATAGCAGTCCAGTGCTTATCCTACAGTACCACCGGGGGGACTTCATCCTATAAGAGTGTCCTCAAAATGTATTATTTAAGACCTCAGGATGCCCAATATGACTTATGCAAAATGTAGTCATAACATAAAGAAATACTGACCAAAGGGAACTTTAAAAAGACCGAGAAATGCAAGTTAAAGGGATCTAAAAGTTATGACTACATGGTTTGCATGCATGTGTGTTAAGTATGTGAATGAATCTTAGTTTATTATCTTTCAGTAATAGCTCCGTAGTTTCCTTCTCCTTGAAAGGATGGCTGGCTTGCTTGGCTGAGTGGAATCCTATTTATCCAGTTAAATGTTATCTTCTCTGGAAAGCCTTCTCCTCCCATCCGTGCTGCCCCAGCAGCAAGATGAAATGTTCCTAAGACATAATATGATGTGTTGAACATAGCTGGTGCTTGATGAAAGAACTTTGATTGAAGGTGTGGATGATTAAATCTCCTATCCATACTTCCATGTGGCTCTTCTTAAAAGTTGAAGTATGTGACAAATGTGATGCTATTTTAAGAGTTGAAGGAAAGGAGCGGTTTTGAAGATGGTGTTGGAGAAAAGACAGCCATTTTGCTTCCTCTTTGCTATCTTCCTAAACTTGGATTATTTTTTTCAATTGCACCACAGAAATTCCCATTCCAAACTCAAAAGCATATATGCTGTCAGTATTAGGTTAGAAAGTATGGATTGAATCATTTTTAAACAATCCACAGAGTATTGTGCAATATGCTAGCGCCACTTTTGTCAACAAAATCTTGGGTGTTTCCTTGATGTTGTCTTTATCTATGTATGGAGACTTATAGGGCATGTTTAAGAAAATTCTATATTTAAGTCAGGGACACCAATAGAATCAGTCAAAATTTTGTGAATTTCATGGAGTCCCTCATTCTCCATCCCTTTCATTCGTGCAATCACATTGAATGTCAAAGGATATGCTTATTTTTAAAGAGTTTAAAACACTATGTGTACTTGGTCATTCATAAGTAGGCATAATTTAGCACTTGCTACCACAAGGATCCTTGAAGGAAACTGAAAACAAGGACCATGTCTTTGTTGAATCCAGTTTGCTTACATTTCAACATACAGAACTTCACTTAACTGGTCATCACAGCAAAAGCCATAGCACGCACACACAGCAGCATGAATTAACCACACAACTCAACAGACAATGCAGACAAACTTGAGTATAAACCAAGATTTTTCTACCTCTTTTCATAACGGGTTAGTGCTGGCCCTCAGTGTTGGTGTACAGTTTTTATGGCATGGGAAAATAGGGATGTTTCTGCCCTATAAAAATAAATGTGTTGAAGGCTTTAGTTTGAGCTTACACAACATCAGAAATTTCCAAAGGCACTCGCACAATACAAAACAGGAGCCCCACAAACAAATATATCACCCAAACACATGGCAAGGTACTGAGAAAGCACTGGTAGGGTAACATTTGGGTTCCAGCATGATTTTTGCAACAGTTTTCAACACCTTCCTGAAAAATAAAGAATAAGAGAGGCATGCTAGTGGGTCTTTGGTGTGGTGCATCTTGTCACCAATCACCATTCATATCAAGTCTTTGGGCTTTAAAGTTCTTGAGAGTCATTTTCTCCCTGGAGAGGCAGAGAGCACAAACCCCTCATTCATCTTAATTTTGAAGCCTAAAGAACAGTTAAGGGATTATACTGAAATGCATGCACTATCTATAAGAAAGAAAGGGGCACATGGACTAAAAATAAAAATATGTAAAAGGAATAATTAATTGCCATTCCTTCATATTGTATGTCATAAATACATACTTCTTTCCAAACTTTAGTTCAACATGTAGTCATTCATGAATGACATCTTTCTCTATTCTAGAAAGGACTACAACACAAAAATAACATAGTAAGATGTCTAAAGGTAATACTTTTGCTGTTATATCAATCTCAAAGGATGCCAGGTGGGCTAACCAGCTATAAATTGGGAAGAATTCACTAAAATTAATAAAGTTGGTGGTTCAAACCCACCAGCCGCTCCTCTGAAACTCTTTATAGGCTTGCTATGAGTCTGAACAGACTCGACAACACTTAACAACAATTCCTCAAAAACGAAAACTTACCACATTCTGTGCGAATTTTTCAAAAGATGTTCTTCAACCCATTGAGGAACCAGACTTACATGTGTGGGGTGGGAGTAGGGTAAAGGGAAATAAGAGAACATACAAAAAAAAAAAAAAAAAAAAAGCAAGAAAATAGAGCAGAAAAACACAGGATGATAAAGTGATGTAACTCCAAAGCCAGGCTCTAAATCAAGAGGCCCAGGAAGACTGGACAGCTTCCCAGGAAGGTCTCTTGCCATAGGACGTGGGCTCTGTTTTTGTTAATGCTTTCTTCATTTTTAATACCAAAAAACTGCTCTTGTGCAAAAAGAAAGGTATGATTGCAAGCAAAATCAATTTGGGCTAAAATGAATTAGTTATGCAAAGCTTTTATACTGACATTTGTGATGTTAAGTATTTGAATATATAGTGGCACCTCCTTAGAATTTCCTCGTAATTTTTCATCACGGATCAATTCCTATTGAACATTTCCTGTGAATTAGAACATCACTATTCAATAGAACTTTCTCTAAGGCTGGAAATAGCATTCTGTGTGTCTAATGCAGAAGCCTCTAGTTATGGCTATTGAGTCCTTGAAATCTGGCAAGAATTTTATTTTCAACACCCCCTTCTTGATAGTGGCCACTGTATGATGCATCTACTTCTAATTACCAAAAGATATCTACCTTGAAAAGCTCATTTAACCTAAGTTAATTACAGAAAGTTATAAGCTTACATCTGAATTTCAAGAAGCCATTGACTGTGTCAACATTTTTAAGTTAATCAGGAGTGATGTTGATGTTTAAAGCCAGATGTCCATGCTTTGTTAAACTGCTTCCAAAAGGCACTGTGGACACTAGAATTAATTATAAACATTAACTGACTAATGCGTTCTACTGAATCTCTGCCCAAAATGTGTCTGTCTATCCTTTTAGGTATGTAACATTTGTTAAGGACAAGAAATTATTTGGGGTTAATGCCAAATGAAAATAATCAAGAACATTTTGGCTACTGTAATTTTAAAAAGTGGGTTTAATTACTAATTATGGGGTCCGTGAGCTTATTGAACAAAGAAAATCTTGCTTAAGTTTTGACCTATAGAAAATTTTCTTTTTCCCTCTTTATTGCCATTTTTAATTTCCTTTAAATAAGCATACAGAAGACGAACATGAAACATGGAAATAACTTCCAATAAACTTTGGAAAGCATGAATATTTGAAGAAATAAACAACAAAAAAATAATAAAACAAGCAACCGACAAACAAAAACAACAAAAAACTTAAATGACCTTTACAAAATGCAACCGTTTGGGGAAGGTCTTAGAGTACATTCACTTACCATTTGTCCAATATACCCTGGGCCCAGCAAAAGTAACTACACCATATATAATTATTACTGAAAATTAATCCAAAATAGGGCATAAAGAACTCATACCTTTTTCTTTGCCTGTAGAAGCTCCTGATAGGCACTGGATCTTATAAAACGTGGATATGAATCACTTTTCATAAGTTTGTAAATGTGCTCCTAAAAAGAAATGGTTGAGGTGCTTCTTTATTATTTCTCAGGAAAAACGCAAATGCTATATGAATATCACATGTGAGAACAAATCTGTTAGCCAAAAATTGAAATGATAATGCTGACGATAGTCTATTACCCGTATGAAACATTCAGCTCTTCAAATGCATTCTCTTATTTATGAATCAGGGCTTACATTGGTTTGGAAACTATGGAGGAGGTAAAATCACATCCAGTCATCGCAAAAAACAAAAAAACAAAAAAAGAATTTGCTTAATAGAATGTCATGAAGTAATTTCAAATCAATTTGTTGATTTATATAGATCATATAAGAAGATAAATGAGTAATTGCTAGCTCTTAAAATGACATGAATTCAAGATTGAATGATCACCTTCGGCACTGTTTCTTTGGAGTGCAGACTATGAGTCATCTGTTTTGTGTAAATTATATGGAAAATTATCATACACATACATTTTGGTTTAACAATAAACACTGTCATGTGTAATTGCTAAATCTCCAACCTCTGAGTGTTTTTTTAAAAAGCTCACTTAGTGACAGATTAGGTAAATATTTAATTCATTCATTTCAAGCAAGTCCGCAATGCTCTATTTCAATGATTAGAAGTCAGTTATAGAAAAAATGCATTAGTCGAATTCAGCCTGGGTTCAATCTAAAGAGATTCTCCTAAGGTCTACTGGAACCCAACTAAACCCACTGCCATTGAGTTGATTGGCTCACAGCAAACTTAAAGGAAAGAGTGGAATATTCTATAGGGTTTCCAAGGCTGTAAATCTTTACAGAAGCAGACTGCTGTATCGTTCTTCCAAGTAGCAGCTGGTGGGGTTAGCAGCCCAACACTAAGCCCACTGTGCCACCACACCTCCTTTATTGCCAGAAGGGTTTAATCAGCTCCTCAGTTTTCTAAGTTAAATTTAATATCCATTTCAAACTATTGAGAACATCTTGGATGTTTCAATATCTTCTTGTTTGGGGAAATAGCTCACATTTTCCTGATCTCAAACAGAGCAGCAATTCCATATAAAGACAGTCAAGGTTAAGTCTCAAAATCTAGTCAAGCTTCGGTTGCCACAATTAAGGTAAATTTGTGGCTGTATTAGAGTTTGTTGTCTGTAATGATTTGCTTTGGAGTCAACCATTTTGGAATCCAGAGCCTTCAAATGTTTTATTGAAGATCTCCCAGTTACAACTTAAATTTAAACCAATTTACTCATATCTTTGAACATTAGTTTTCTAACCTCTAAATTAAGGTTGCTGTGAGGATTGAGGGGGACTATTGAGTGTATACTCTAAATGCTCACATATGCTTGATCATATGCCAAGCTCACATCTTACCTAGCTTAATAATTCAATCCTCACAAAATTCCAGTGAAGTAGGTGTCCTTTATTAGAACCATTAAAAAAAAAAAGACTGAGGCATAGAGAAGCACTGTATTTGCAAGAGGTCACACTGATCATTTGTATGCAGAATCTGCTTTCTTAATATTCTATTTGCTTTAGAGTTGTAAATCCAAAGGCTTTTTGCCTGGGAATGACTCCAGTCAGGCAGAGTTTAGTTCTATTTTGTTCCTAGGTTTTAAGTGTTCAGATGCCCATTCGTTTTGAAGCCAGAGTCAGAATGTACTCTAAAATGGGGTTTCAGCCACTTCCTCAGTCAGCACAAGAATAGAAACAGCCTCACAGAACCGCACCTACATAGACCCTTTAATTGTTGTGATATCATACCCTGAGAGAACCCTGTAAAGCTTTACTATGTAAAATACCACCTCACTGCTTCCTTAGGCCTGGCACTGGTATAGCATGTGTACATGACCCATTGCTACCTTCACTTGTGGTTGTGGGCAGAGATTCCTTTGTTCTCTGTGCCCTATAAAATCAGAGTGGAGGCAGAACTTTGGAATTTGATCATGGCCTCATATCTATGAATTCCCTCACCCAGGTAATCTATGCTTGTTTTATCTTTAAGTCTGAAAAAGGAGTAAAAACAAAGATTCTCTAATATTTATGGCGTCCTGGTGTGATTCTGTAGGCTAGACTCTGGACCGCATTTGTTTGAATTGTAAGGTCAGTGATTCAAACTCTACAGCTGCTCCTCAAAAACCCTATAAAGGTTTGCTATCAGTTGGAATTGACTCGACCGCACTTAATGACAACAGTATACATCTGAAGATGGGATCTTGTCTCTCAATAGAACACATGGTCACTTAAAAAAAAAATGGCAAGAATTTCTGTTATTCTATCTTTGAAAATGGGGGGGGGGCCTCCATCAAAATTGGAGTTAAATATTTAAGATTAATTAAACAAACAGAAAAACCAAACCAAGGGTCTGGTGACAATATTTTCAGTGGAAAAATACTCATTTTCATGTAACTGATGGCTCCAGTAAGCAAAAATATTTTCAATGACACAGATAAAAAAAATATTTTTTAAGTCTTCAGGAAGATCATTCCAAACATTTTATACATTGCTGGCTCTAAAAAAATGCTTGAAATTTTATCCTGAGCTGAAAGAAAGAAGTGAACAGCATGGTTAGAATTTTTGTCCTGCCCACAGTCCCCTTGTGTCTCTGGAGAATGCATTTAGTTCTACGTGGGAGACCAGGACAGAGCCACAGGCGGGATGACTGGTTAAGCTGTCTAAACTGATGTTACATTTCCTTAACTCAAAGTGTCACTTTTCCTTAAACTATACCCAAGGAGAAATGTATTTTCTAATAAAAATATGGAAGGACATTTATGTATCTTATTCTTAGATTTCTAAATGGAGATTCAGTAATGCCATTATTAAAAAAAACAAGCCATTTTTAGTGACATACTCTATTGTTAAAGAAGTTTAACATATTATGAAATAGGTATGCTCTGATTCAAAAGCCAATTTCAATACATCATGGTTGTTGTTGTTGTTGTTGTTAAGTGCCGTTGAGTTGATTTTGACCCAGAGCGACCCTATATAGGGTTTCCAAGGAGTGGCTGGTGAGTTTGAACCGCTGACCTTGCAATTCAAACGACTTTGCAGTCCAGCACATTAACCCACAGCACCACACCAGGACTCCAATACATCATTAGGAAGTACTATTCCCTCATCCTCATTACATATGTATTTTTCTTCTTGAGCACCATTTAAAAAAAAAAAAAAAACAAACACAAAAATAAATTAAGATAATTTATAAGGAGGCAAATGAAATTCCATTTGAGAAAAAAAAAAACACCAAAATATTATTACGGATGCTAAAATCCATTTTCTTTTGTGTTTTCCTTTTGATATGATGATCTTATGAAATGAATAAATCATGAATAAACTGTTTAATTTTATGACCTGAAACAGAACTGATTTGAAGTTGACAAAACTTTAAGTAAAGTCAGTTTTTATAATTCATAATAAGGAATAATTTAGGAATGAAAGAGTTTTAGAATCTTCATGTTGGAAAAAAGTAGCTCTGGTACTCTATAGGATAAGTACTGATCTGCAACCAACTGGTCGGTGGTTCAAGCCCACCAGCTTCTCTGTGGGAGAAAGAGGAAGCTTTCTGCTCCTGTAAAGACAGCCAGTCTCTGAAACCCATACAGGGTTACTATCAGTTGGAATCAACTTGGTGGCAGTGAGTTTAAGTTTGGTTATTTTGGGAGAGACCTCAAAGGTTTCAAATGTCTATAACTGAAGTAGGGTCATCATTAGCTAAGTGCTTATCTACATATTAGACAACAGAGTAGAAACTGAAGTAAATATCAAGTATGCTACGTCAAAAATTTCTCATATAAAATATTCAAATTTACAAAACATGTCCATACGTTAAAAAATATTTGCTTCAATGCATCTGTACTCTTTTTCTAGAGTTGTTTTAGTTACAATTATCTAGATTTAAAATATTAGACAAAGCTCCCAAGTTAAAATAAAAATAAAGTCTTTCAATTAGCAATGTCTCAGGAGTACATTTGTGGCATATGTAAGGGGTCCTTGTATACCAACCTGAGCATCTTCGAATGTGTAACGTCCAGGTTCCTTCACATTCTGTGTGGTTTTGTCATAACTCTTAGAATCCAGGTTAATGGCACTGGGGGCTCCGGGAGCCAGAAACTCTTGCCATATTTCCTGTACTCGGGAGGGGACTTCTCTAATCGGCCTTTTCTTCAGGTCTTCCACTGCTAGCCAGAATCTGTGCAAAATGGGACACCAAGTACTTACTCTACATCCTGGATATGCTTCTGAAAATTCTTGAAATACTTACTCATGCTATAATTCACAATAATACATAATAATAAACTCACTGTCTCTGAGGCTTTCAATTCTCTGAGGGCTTTATTGTTTTGTTTTGTTTTTAGTTGTGTTCACAGGTGTAAAATTCTTCAGAGGAAATGCAAACATAATCTCTTTTTAAGTGTTTGTTGTTAAAAGTAGTTATCAAAGGTCTGGGGTCGTCAGACTTGGTTATACTGAAGCAAAGTTGGACTGACAAAGAACCATTTGCTAGGAAGTAAGGGGGACTTGGAGTCCTGGTTGGCGTATGGGTTAATGCACTGGATCACAAAGTTGGTTTGCACAGCAAGTTCGGCAGTTCAAGTTCACCAGCTGCTCCTTTGGCCCTATACAGAGTCACTATGGGTTGGAACCTACTCAAAGGCATTTAATACCAAGAAGAAGGGGGATTTGGAGGGAATCGTGGTTAAGTGATAAAGAGCATCCGACTGCAGGGATACATTAAGCATTACACTGCATTTTTTGGATCTTTGGTTCAGTGAAGGTTAGTGTGAGAGCCTTTTCTACTCTACTTGGAAGGGGAATTACAACAAAGTTTTATTGGAGTGGACAGAGGCATTCACACAGTTTAGGTCCTAGGAGGCAAAATTTAGTGCCATCGAGTCGGTTCTGACCTATAGTGACCCTGTATAGGGTCTCCAAGGAGCAGCTGGTGAGCTTGAACTGCCGACCTTGCAGTTCAAATGGCTTTGCAGTCTGACGCATTAACCCACAGAGCCACACCAGGAGGCAAATTAGGGGTAATTAATTAATTTTAGGCTACTTAATTCAGAGACCAAAATTGCCTTTCAAATGTTACTTGAATTTGAAGTGGCACCAATGCAATTTAGAAATGATGTGAAAAATATTAATTGATTTACTTAGAAAGAAAACCAGAGCATGTTTTTACTGAGAATAGCACAGCTCATTAAGGCGGTACCACATTGTATTTATGAGTTTCATTTTTTAAGTTTTGCTATGTGTTAATCTTTCATTATTAGACCTTCAAATAATGTCAAAAAGCTAAATATGCATATCAGAGCATTTTGTTAAAAAAAAAAAAAAAATTAGTTGAAAATGAAGCCCTTATATATAGGTGTATTCTGACATCTGACAGACAAGAAGTCTTCATAAGTTGGAGTCCATGTTGACAGCAACTGGTTTTGAGTATGCCTATGGTATCCTAAACAGTCATCATTATCAGTTCGATGACAGATATGATCATGTAATCAAGAACTCAGAGTCAAAGGCAACTATGGGTTACAGACATTTAAGAGAAGCCCAACATGGCAAAGCAGAATCTTCAAAATTAATAAATTTTAACTTGGAAATTACTGAAACATCAGAAAAAGTAGAAATAAAGTACTTAAATTATAACTACCAGAATTACAATATCAAATACTATGCTGTCTAGTGATTATCAATTTTCAAATACTGCTTTTCTATAGCTATATATAACAGAAAGGAGTCCTGGTGTGGCGCTGTGGGCTAATGCGCCAGACTGTAAAATGGTTTGAACTGCAAAGTTACAGGTTAAAGCTCACCAGCTGCTCCTTGGAAACCTGAATACAGGGTCGCTATGGGTTGGAACCAACTCGACGACACTTAACAACAGCAATATACGACAGAAGATAATTCAACACGGATATTACCTTAAACGTGAAACTACTTTTATTAGTTCCAGAAAGGATCTACCCTGTTTTCCCTAAAATACAGTCAGAAGTATGCACTACAATAAGACTACCATGTGGAAACTAAGGGAGCATGAATGTTCTAATTAGTGCTCATTCAAGTTCATCCCAGCACACAACTGATCCAAACAGCTCCTGGCCTCAAAGAACTAGCCGAGAAAAGAGGCATCATTCAAGTGATCATAATAAAAGCTCTCTACGAACAATGCCAACTAGAGAGTCTTGGAATGCAGGCAGAAGAGTCTTTCTGCTAGGGCTGAGTGCTGGTTGCAAAAGAGGTCTTAGGAAAGATACTACAGATGTGATAAGATGGAATGACAGGCTATAGTCATTTTCAAAAATTGAGAAAGTAATAATATCTTTGTTACTATGTGGTATAGGCAGTTTTCTTAATACTGAACCTCTATCAATGCATGTAAGCCTTACAACAGCTTTATAAATGGGATGTAGTTGCTGCCTCCATTTTAGAGAAAAGGAAATTAAATGAAATAGATGTAATTTATTGAAGACTGTTCAGTTTTAATGTCATAACTGCAATGTGTACACAGGTAATTTGAAATGGATGAGTTCTTAAACTGCTATGCACTGCCTCCCCAGAACCATCAGTGTTTTATTGTTATCATTCCCTGTTGTTAAGTGTTGTTGAATCGGTTCTGACACTAAGCAACCCTGTGTAGGGTTTCTGAGGAGCAGCTGGTGAGATTGAACCATTGACTTTGCAGTTCAAACGACATTCCGGTCCAACACATTATCCTGCAGTTATTATGTTTGTGGTGATAATTAGATGTATAATACCATTATTACTAGTATTTTAATAACAACAGATGAGAAAGAATATCAGTTGAAATCCCACCTTTTATTTAATAATTGTTGTTAAGTGCTGTAGAGTTGGTCCCAACCTATGTTGTTGTTATTATGTACCGTGGAGTTGGTACCAACTCATAGCAACCCTGTACAGAGTTTCTGAGGCTGTAAATCTTTACGGGAGCAGAAAACCTCATCTTTCTCCCGTGGAGCGGCTGGTAGTTTTGAACTGCTGACCTTGTGGTTTGCAGCCCGATTCATAACCACTATGCTACCAGAGCTCCTCGACCTATAGCCATGCTGTATAGGGTTTCCAAGGAGTGGTAAATGAGCTTGAACTGCCGACCTTGCAGTTCAAACCGACTTTTCAGTCTAGCACATTAACCCACAGTGCCACATAACAGTAGCTGAAATTTGAGGTATCATCTTAACAACTTTGAACCTCAAGTATCTCATTGCGTTTCCACTGGATTAAATGAAATAAATTAGATAAAGGACACTGAAATGCCTGACATATTTACAGACATTCAATAATGAATCTAAGGAGCTCTGGTAGCGTAGTGATTACGAATCGGGCTGCGAACCTTAAGGTCAGTGGTTCGAAACTACCAGCCGCTC